TGCTCATTAACTTATTATATTAGCATTGGTATGCTTTTGCTTCGCACTCTTTTTTAAAAACTTGCTCTCTTTGGATCGTGTATTAGGTACTAAATACAATCTACAATAATCAGCTGTTTTTTATAAAGCAACGCTAATTGCATTTCACTTACCATCCATGTTTTTATTTTTCAATTATGAAAAAATTCACTAAAAACTCACAGAAAACTCAAACGTTGTATATATTATGTACAAGAAAAATTTTCCTTTTCATGATTTATATTTTTTTTTTATTACTAACGCGCTATATTTTGTATACTTAAATATATTTTTATAAGAATCTTTACTCATACCGAACCGCACTAGTTAATACACAAACTAAGATAATGTAGAACACATGTAGGCATCATTGCTATTAAATGTGGATAAAGTGGTATATGAATTAATGAGTGTCGCCGTGTTGTGTTCTTCCTATAAACAAACGTTAGATTTGAAATGTTCATATTGTTAGTTATTGTTGTTAGCATTCATCATAGACGGCTTATTAATGTTACCAAACATTGCTGGCGGATGGAAAAGCGAGTCGGAAATTCTATAACTGATATAGTGACATCCAAGAAAAGAAGAAGGATAAATGAAGATGATAATAAAGTTCGAAAATCTGATAAATATATATAGCTTTTCCGGGCACTGGATATCTTCCCTAAATGATTGTTTTGTACTACGTTACAAACTATGGATAGATAGCTCATTTAGGAAAAAAGTCATGTTAACCTTTAAGTGCTCTTTCAAACTAATTGCAAATGTTATTCGAATTATATATTTATTACGCTCCAAAGTTATTGATCAGATATGTCAATTAAAAAACGGAAAAGAGAATAAAAAGACCTACAAGATAACATTTAGTAAACTTTTCTTTCTTTCCTTCTTTTATTTTTTCGTTTTCCCATGCCTTTGTTTTATAAGAGGAGCGTAAATGAAAGATTGTAAGAGGAGATGCATTCACATTTTTTATAAGTAGCAGGAGCCGCAATACCGTAATATTTTCTTCCTTTGTTTTTGTTTCCTTTTTTTAAGCAAATGAAAAATTAATATTTAATATTTTCCTATTCGGAACCAAAGTTGTTTCGAAAAGGCCTGAGTACATTTAAATTAGAAACAATTAAATATTATGAGAAGAGCTGTACTATAAGAGAGGAGTAATCGTATTCACCACCGTCTGGTCAATTTTTGTATCGGTTGAATTTGATTTGTCTGTCTTCTACTGTTGGGGTCATTGCGTTCACAAAAATTGAGATGAAGTATGGAGATCTCAATTGGACAAATTCAATCATGACCGCTCCTTTAATTAGTAAGATAGTGAAATTTACAATCCGCACTAAAACTTCATTTAAAACTTCAAGCACATACTTACCGATACCGTTTAAAACTATAATCAGATCGATTGTTACTCTTCTGTTATTGCGCCTACACAGTACACAATATAAACAACATGAAATTTGTAATGCTTAAGAAGGACCTCTAAGGCAGCCCCTCTAAGATGAACAAAACATTTTTCATTGTTTATAACGCAATAACATGGTAGATAGCAAGGGTTTGCTTCAAGGCCAACATAAATTTTGCACATGCTTTTTAAAAAGTTTACGTTATTAATGCTTTAATTTGCCTATGTGTTATATGAATAGTTTCGTAAGTGTTAGTCTTCAAATTTTTTTTGGTTTTTTTTTTTTTTTTGGGAGCTTCCTTTTCTGGGGAAAAGTAACCGCAGTAACCATTAATTTACCGTAACAAATGCCAAAGCGTATTTTGAGGTTAGGTAGAGCAAACACATAATGATTTTACATTTCATTAAATTGCTGTGGCCTTACTTCAAATATAGCGCGTCACACTCAATGATAATTACGACAACAACGACGTCAACAAAAATTCCCAAAGTATTTCTACTAGAACCTCAGTCAAACGCACATGCATACATGAAACAGCACCTGATGTGTATAGTTACGTGCATACGTGCACTAATACAAAATTCGCCCGATGAAAGTGAGGAGAGATAAATTCGAACCTAAAGTATCATTTAAACTATGATTGCATCCCATCCCTCCATTATGGGCTACGAGCACTTAAATACACATCACTATTACTATAATACACACGTAGAAAATGCGTGTCTACAATCAACACAATAACAAAATCTCTGTCAGGTTAAATGTCTAAATACATATATATATAAACATATATATATATATATATACATGTACGCTTACATATCGATATTCAAAATTAAAAGCTTTTTATAACGAAAACTTCATACCGTAGACAATTCAAAAATTATTGCATCGATTTAATAGCAACAATCTACGTTAAGTCCACATTGGAGAGTATTGACGATTTTGACTTTTGCATGCAGATCAAAGACAATTGGATTAAATGACATAAATACACAAATGCCCGTACACAATATATATATATATATATATACATATACATATATATAGATACATATATATTTGTAGTTATATGAATGTACCTTTATTGATATATTTATCTCCACGTGTGTATATCGGTGTGGAGCGAGCAAATGCCGTAAATCAATTGCTGGTTATTAATGCGTAACATAAACAGCTTTAAATAAAGTTTTGATAATCAGCTATAGCTCGTTATGCAAGCATTTTGAATATTTGAGGATTTATTGAATTGTCTTTCGGGATCAAAGCATACGCAAATAGATCACAATAAACACACTTTCATCTGCACCCAACGGTGCCATAATTTAGATTACGCTTTATTTACATAATCGATTACATTTTCGATTCAAAATATATTTTTTTTAAATATTTTTGATTGTTTAAATTTTCCGATAAATAAATCGTCATCATGATTAAACGATTTTTCTAAATTATTTAGAATTAATAATCTTGTACAGATCTTAGAAAAATATTCATTTTAAATCCATCACCGACGGATGAGTGGTATATTCGTTTAAAGCCCAGAAAGCATATACATTCCAAATCGATTTAGCATATCCCTCTGTTCATCTGTCCATCTGTCCATCTTTCCATCTGTCCATCTGTCTGTCCGTGGTAAGCACTTTTCCCGTCGCAAAAATGAAGCTACCGACAAAAACATTGGAAATTCTTGCGCGAAGATTCCTACTGAAAATGGGAGAAATCGGTCAAAGGACCAGAGCATAATAGTATCCTAGAGCTTCTCTATTTACAAAAATAAAATCTATTTCGTTTTTTGCTCATTACGTATGACAAATCACTAAGCTACTAAGGCATTGCATCATTTTTTTACACAATATTTCTGATAACATATTAAAAATTTACTGACAGTCAGTTTGAATGGAGAATGGCTCTAAATACCGTATCAACTAAGTTATCTTTGTTTTAATTTGTTCGCAGCCGAAAAGCAGTTGCGGAACGTGTGGATCGGTTCACTCAAAGTGAGGCAAGCTAAGTGTGTTAGCTCTAAATTAAACCTCACCTGAGGTCTGTTTCGATGTTTCGATGCTATTCATAAGGATCTGGGTGGTGTTTTGATAAAAATCGATGCCCACCAGTTGTGAATCGTAGTAGCTTGCATATTGATATTGCTCATATCGATGATGAAAAATAATCCTTTGAAGTTGTAATAAACTGAAAAATAATCCGTTGAAGTTGTATGGACCTGAAAAATAATCCTTTGAAGTTGGAATAAATTGAAAAATACTCCGTTTAAGTTGTATGGACCTGAAAAATAATCTGTTGAAGTTGTAATAAACTGAAAAATAATCCTTTGAAGTTGTATGGAACTGCAAAATAATCCGAACATTGGAATGATGTGTTGATGATTTGCAACCGGATTTTTTATATGACGCTATACAAACCGTACGTGCTGCCCTTATGCAAACCCTCTGTAAGATTTTACGCAACCCTAACAATGCAACCTTAGTCGCTTTTCGTGTCATATTTAAAATGCAAGAAGAAAGTTGCCCCTATGTTCAAAAATTGAGTGGAATTTTATACTATTTCCAAAAACTGGGGGTAATTTTGTACGATCAAAAATGAATGGGAATATTGCATGATCAAAAATTAACGAGAATCTTTACCAATCGGTCGAAGGACACATCTGCATTACTACCTAAACCGGAAACACTTCTGCTTTTCAAATGGAATGAAAAATTTTTCTTTTGCTCACTATTCATAAACTTTACCAGATAAATGTGCAAAAATGATGATGCAAGAACAAGCTGCAGAAACCTTTTAAGTAAAAAATTTCTGGACATTTTCAAATTTGGCGTGCGTGTGTCCGTCTGTTCATCTGTTCATCTGTCGGTGTCGGCTAAATATCGCGTACAAATTTCGATGATGGGTATAAGAGACAATGTGTGATTGCTGACTTGACCGATCGGTTCAATTATTGCAGCAATCGATGGTTTCGTTAATAACAATACGCTATAAACATAAAGCACTAACGTAGCGCCCTATTCGGTGGCTTCGTCTGCATCGCGTTTTTTTTGCTCTTTAAATTATCGCGTTTTTTTTGCTCTTTGAATTATCATAACGTGCCTGTATTTATCAACATTCCAGGAATACCTACGAACTAAACAGGATGTATAACGCTCCCCATACAGTATGCTTTTTTAGCCACAAAGCTGCTAAAAATTACCTTTCATGCCCTTTAGCCAGATCATACGTATTAGATGACATAAAGCGTAGACTTAATACTTTCATCATTGCATGTGTAATGTAGCGCACAAATGTATTCTTTAGAAATCTACAAAAATTAATTCAAACACGCATTAAGTTGAATCATTTTTGCCAAAATCGCATATGTTCCTAAACGACCTTACATCGTTTTCTTTTAAATGCCAAATAGTTGTCTGTTTCCATAATGTATATATATATACATATATATATATATATATAAATATAGTTATATATATATATATATATGATTCGCTAACAATAGGAACAAGAATTTTTTTAAAAATATTCCATTTATTTTCTTATATTCTTTAACTTGTTGTACCTGTCTACTCACATATACAAAGACAAATATGTTTCCGTTATAAATTTTAATTTGAGTTCTTTCATCGGAACGGTGTTCACAGCAACCGTTGTACCGTGATGATCGTGACAGAAACTGCAATGTCTTATTTTCTTATAATCGGACAAAAGACGAAGAATTTGCAAACGTCGATGTTGACTGATAACGCAGTTCAAATGCGATTTTACCTTATTCAAGCAACGGCGACACCTGTCGCTGTTAGTTTTATAACTATGCCAATAATCGCCGATCGGAGTCTCGCCGCAACGGCAGCATTCGGCCGAATTGTATGGTGAACAGATTAAGGCTACAGGATGTTTAATTTTTCGTCGTGTTCCAAAGGCTGACAAGATTTCGAATCGGGGACTTGGTTTATGATAATCATACATATTTGGTCTAAAAAGCACAACATTTTCATTAATATATTTAACGTCGAGCGATTAACGCTTGCTTACGGTGGCGTTAAAAACTCTTCTTGTACATCACGTTCAATTCCAGAATTGAAAGGCTTGGCATTAGGCTTTACCAATTTCGTCTCACATATTACAAAATCAGTTCCATATTTCTGCATCTGAAGTGGGCGTGAACGTGCTACATTGCTAACCATAGGGCCATATCCGTAGACTGAAGGTGTCTAAAAAGAAAATAAATAAATAAATAAATGAATGAATGCAAGAAGAGTGAAATCTGTTAAGATCGAATTTGTAGTGGAAGAAAAACCTTTACCTTTTTCATTAAGTAATTTCTTCCATCCACACAAGCAGCCGGTCCTGGACTACGATCAGCATCTCCCTGTATAGCACGCATAAAAGACGACAATGCAGGTCCCGACAACGGTAGTGTAACTCTATGAAGAGTGGTCCCAAAGGCGATTGCCGGTGGTGGGGCAGGATTAACAATATATTTGAAACCTAGAAAACATTGAAGAAAAAACTGATATGATCATCATTTTACTCATGGATGATGGCTTTGCGTGATCAGCTCAAGCATTAAATTCTTTGTTTTCATTTCAAAACGATATTCACGTAATATTTCATTTTCCATATGCGTTAATTCTTGTAAGAACATTTCTGCTCATTCGCACAAGTTCACGTCTAGTCTCGTGGATGGCAACTGAACGAATTCATTTTTCTAACAATCAAAATGTTATTTGTATTCAACAATCACAATTTACACTGAGAGAAATTCAGTGAAAATATCTTAAGCAATAAGCGTTACAAAGCAAATTTTTATCCAAAGAAAGTATGAACCGGGCAACCATACCATAATTCAGTCGAGAAGAATGCTGGCAGAATTACAACCGATCTGTCGATCAATTAGAATATTCGTAGAACGCGTCTTGCCTTAAGAAGAGTCTTCGCACTTGTGGAAGGGATCTCAGAGAGCGGATTTATTACCATCAGCTATCAGCTTTCTGCACTCACTCCTCTCCCTCACCCTTCCTATCTCTACGTAACTATATATATATATGTATAACTTTTCAGTCGCTTAGTCCTTCATTTTGTCTATAAATTTAATGTCTTCCAAGACCAAAATCATTACCCCGAAATAAATTAATAAAATATTACCTTAATATCCTCAAAAAGAGAACGTTTATATTAGTATTAGTAGTATAGTAGCCGTGAAACCCGTACAACATAACCTCAATTTTCCTCAATTATGTAAATTGTTTTAAACTGTCTTCTCTTAGGGACCTATGTTGGCGTCACGTCAATATACCACAAGCTCAGATTAAAGTGGCGAATTGCTTTAGTTACGAAAGCCAAACATCATTAGGGTAACGCCACAATGAAATCCATTACTTTACAAGTTCGGCTTCTTTAGCCTCCAAAGTACTTTCTTACTTCACTAATTGAAAGGATATAAGGAATTCTGCGTTATCCCTGAGCGTTGATTAGATAAATGCATTAAATATCATTTGTTCACTACTGTTACCAAACCAAATACCTTGCAATTGACTGACCGCATGGCCAATTGGTTAACCAAAAATGACTTGAACATAAAATGAACAAATGGGCGTTTGCAGCAGCTTAATTAGTATTCATTAAAAAAAAAAAAACAAAACATTCAAAGTGTGACCGAAGCAACCTAAATTATCCATAACTGAGTAATAACATAGGTGATGTGTGAATTAGCGGATCACTGTACGGTGTGTAAAGAAAACTAGATTTAGAAGTAACCACCTTTGGAATTCTCTAGAGCTATGAAACTACGACAAAACTCAACAGTAAATGATGCAAGCCTTCTGCTTGGTTTGCAAAACGAGAACTAAAAGAGAAATTTCCCTTGAACACACAAAGCATGCTTTGACTGCAACCGTCCAATCCTCCTTAAGCAGCACTGCTCTCATGACCGACTACTGAAGCGATTAGCAATTAACTTTTAGGGATAGGCTTGAGACAAACAAGCCAGATAGTTAGATAGTATCTTAGTAAAGTAAAGGCAGCTTTAACCTAAAGTCAACACTTACTTTCAATTTAGGTATAAACAATCAAGGACTCTTTACTAAATGACGCCATTCTGAGTACCACAACACAAGCTATCTCGGCAATATTTGAAAATTTCGAAACATTATTTAACTTTCTTGTTTCCATCTATATAGCCACGATCCTTTTCATCTTCAGATTGAAAGTTGCCGTTATGTAATGTCTTTTGTCAATTTGATAATGAAATTTATTTCAGTGCGAAAATTCTTATGCATATTTATTTTTAGCATGCTCGCATGATATTTATCCTCCATTGGCAGTTTATTTTGAAAGTTCAATAACTAATCGCAAAGCCACGTTTCACTCTAATTAATCAATCATGCTCACGCACCAAACACATAACGCAAACAACATTTACAAAGAGCGCATAGGCAGCACGCACCCTTCCATTCACATACCTTCCATATTACATTCGCGCTTTAAAATACCCTTTAAAATAAAATGTAGCTAAAAAAAAAAACTTAAAAGAAACACTATTCCTGCAAACGCTTATCGCTTGATGAAAGTCGTTAAACGAATAAAATAATTGTAGATACAACAAATGACATAAAGAATGAATGACTATATAGTCAAAGTTTTACTTTTATTATTATTATTTTGTTATTTTCTGATTGCCGTAGTGTATAATCTGTTGACAAAACAAAAAACAAAAAAGAAAAGCGAGGAAAATTCTTGCAATATAACTTATATATGTTAATTCATGCATGTGTGTATGTATGTATGTATGTATGTATGTATGTATGTATGTATATATTAGGCAATAATTTGTTTAAGTAAATGTCCTCTATCGCGAAATCTACAACAGCTTCGATATTATATCTTGTCTCAAATCGCGTCTACTTTTCCCTTAACTTAACTGATTTCTGGTGTATATAGCAATTGTTGTTGTTTTTGGTAATCGAGGCGTGTATTCATACACAGTGCGTTTACTTTTGAACCATTTGCATAAGTAAATCTGTTGATAATGAACTTGGATGCTCGATGGGTAGACCCAAAGCACGATCCCAAACAAGCGAAGCCAATACGCCGAGAGAACGCGATACACCGAACAATACCGTATAGTAGTTCATTTCCTTCATTCCATAGTATTGCAATAAAACGCCAGAGTGAGCATCCACATTAGGCCAGGGATTCTTAACTTTTCCAGTTTCCTGAAGAATGGGCGGAACTATTTTATAGATTTTGGATACCAACTGGAAAAGTTCATCATTAGGTAAATGCTTGAGAGCGAATTCACGTTGGCAGGTGTAGCGAGGATCGGTCTTGCGCAGTACAGCATGACCAAAACCAGGCACTACTTGACCCGATTTCAGGGTTTTCCAGATATATTCCTTCAGTTGCTCTTCGCTTGGATTGCAACCAGCTTCTTTTTGCAATTTACGTAACCAGATCAGCACTTCCTGATTGGCCAAGCCATGTAAAGGACCAGCTAAACCGTTCATACCAGCGGCAAATGATAAATAGGGGTCACTTAAAGCAGAACCCACCAAATGCACCGTGTGAGCTGACACATTGCCACCTTCATGATCACTGTGTACAGTCAAATACAGACGCATTAAATCGGTAAACTGGGGATCATCGTAGCCCAACATCTTAACAAAATTAGCAGACCAATCTAAACTCGAATCGATTGACTTTGAACCTTTTCCATTACGATATGTATTACAGTAAATGGTGGCAGCTAGCACCGGCAGCTTAGCAATCAAATCCATGCTATCTTCAAAGACATGTTCCCAATATTGTGATTTGTGAACGCCGTCTGAGTAGGCTTTCGCAAATTTGCTGTCACAATTCATGGCAGTAATGGCAGTCGAAAATTGTGACATGGGATGCAAGCTAGTGGGGAAATTGTTCAGCATGGTCACAACATGTTGTGGCAAAGCAGCACGTGCAGCCCACTCGCATGAAACTTGTTTTACTTGAGCCTTGCTGGGCACTTTACCAGTCAACAATAACCAGAATATTCCTTCGGGCAGAGGCTGCTCACCGCCATCAGCAGCCGGTAACACTTTTTGCAATTCGGATATGGACAGACCACGAAAACGAATACCTTCCTCAGCATCCAAAACTGAAGTTTCTGTAACCAGAGCTTTAATACCACGCATACCGCCGTACATCATATCGATAGTGATTTCACCCATTTTAAACGACCCATATTGTTCACGGAAATTCTTTACTCTCTCCTGTTCAACTAGAATCTTAGCAGCTAAAACGTCACGCAAACTGGTATCAGCTGATATAAAACGAACGTAAGAGCCCAAAAGAGCGTTTAGTTTCTGAACTTCGGGAATTTTACGCGTAGTAGAAAAAATACGATAAATCGACATGTTGTAATAATGCGGACTTTTTTATATATTTATATTTTAAATTCAGTGTTTTTGTTTTTGTAACGATTTTTTTCGATTTGAAATTTATTATAATAAGGACGGAAGAAGATAAATATTTTTTTTAGGGTTCTACAGACAAGTGTTAAATGTTTATGTGTAGTGCAAAGAAAAAGAAGAGGAGCTTTGTTGAATATAACACACACGCACTCGTGCACTCTCAAAAAAAATATATGAACGAGAAGCAAATGCAAATCCTTATCGTTCAAGGAGAAAAAAGCAAAAGCAAAGCAAAATATGAAAGAAAACTTTATTTTTATTTACACTTACATGGCACGGTATACGCTTTTTATAGGCTTTCAAAGAAACAACACTTTGTTCGTATAATTTTATTTAACTTTTCCCTCTTTCATTAACAAAAAACAACTTGTTGTCGTGTATTAACAATATTGGGTAAGTAAGAAAGAAATTACTGCCATATTTCTTTGCCGTAATTGTATTAAATTAGCAGTGAAAAGATATGAAAGCACATTACAAAATATTCCGAAATAATTTTCTTTCCAACCTATCTCAAGAAAAAAAAAAAAAGAAAAAAAATTCCCAGTAGAAGAGAATAGTGAAGAAAATTAAAAAAAATTAAAAACTTTACATTGCTTCTAAATATGGAAGAAATTCTCGCATGAGATAATCGCACTTAAATAAATTCACTTTTTCAAATGCAATCAAAGACATATGCGTGAGTATGCTAATAATTGAAGTTAAAAAAATCAAAATTGTTTTCAAACCTTTGCAAGTTTAATGTAATACTACATTATACTATTAAGTCCACGCCTACAAGAAAGGAAATTCGATAAAGATTAAAAAGCAAAGAAAGCTACAAAGATGAAACGAAAGGATGTAGAAATTCCGTTTAATAAAATAAACTAAGTATGGAAAAGGGCTTTTCTTGACAAAGGCTTTCCCCGGTGATAGTTTACTCACTATGCCTTTCCATTCGAAATGCAATATATGCACAAATGTTAACCTGAATGCAGAACACTACTTCTTCCCACACTGCTCGAGCTGACAAAACAGCCTCCTACACCTGTTGGTTCGTCTCTATGTGAAAACAGCAAAGTAACAGAAACAACAGAGCAAACTTTTCGAAACTCGCTTTACTAGATATATGCTAACAGCTGTAAATCTGTCGGATAATACAGAATAATAGGAACAATTGATAAAAAAAATCATGGTAAAGTAATGCGAAAATATTTTCGAATTCAATTTACCTGGTGATCGTAAGAACATCAGTTCGTCGTAGAGCAGCACTTCCAGACAAAGTCTGGGATGTTTACGAAAATATATAATTCAGCCTATATATCGTATGTATATATATCGTACATATTGTATATATTTTAAAAATGAAAACAATAGATATTAATTGTTAAATTTATTTATTGATAAATCTTTTAATAAGAAGAAGATTAGAAAGAACAAAAATGTACCGAAAAACTATGTAAACAATGCTTGAGTAAGATATTTTCACCATGTCTCGCATTAAGTTTATTAATAAAAAGGAAGCAAAATGCTGTTGAAACAAATTTTCACAAACTGTTCAATGAAATAAAATACAAAAAAAAGAGAGCACAACAACTATATTTAGCCGACATCGAATCTTTCTTCATATTGTTACAGTTCAAAAATAATTCTTACATAGAGAGAATCTATAAATTGATCTGCCGATTGTAGCTCTTCTCATTCTGAAATTCAATCTATCATCTCAAAAGGTAAAACCTAATGATACTCCTCGCATATCCCCTTGGAAGAAATCAATTCCAAAATGAATTAAA